GGATTCAGGTTGCCTTTCTGCCAAAGAACTCGAACTGCCTTCATTTATATTCTCTTTCCATTTTAATGTGGCAGGAGGGGCTAGAGATAGAGGAATCAAAAGCATTGCTGTTAACAGTCCTTTTTAACAAAAAAAAGGAGTATCATATTTCCTCAGCAGCAAGGCCGGGACTAGAACCTGTAGCCATCTCCCCCCACCCCCACCCCCCCACCCTTGTCTAACACATTTTCGTACATCCGCACTTTATCTGGAAGAATAACTTAACAAATGCTATTCTAGTTTCATGCAGAAAGCGGAGCCGGCACTCCTCTCGACTGCTGACATCATTCATATTAATTTTAAAATCCTGGTCTCTCAAAAACGTGTTTCCCTCTGGCGATGATCCACTCGGCAGAAAGTAGGATGAGAATGGGGACCGGGCCGATTCCCTTTCACTTGTCAAGGATGCACTAAGTACTCCTGGAGCATTTGATGCTAAAGAGGGTCTGTACTGTGGCTCAAGTGGTGCAGGAAACATCCGCAGGTTCGAGCTGCAGTGAGACGGAGATCATGGTCACCGGCCAGGAGTCAGGACGCGGGCAGAGGTCGGAACCCGGCCTGGCCCGCTCAAGTGGACCGAGGGCACCGGGACGTAGGAAGGTGACCGCGGAGCATGCGAGAGGTGCCCCGGCCTGGCTCGACCGCCCTGAAACGACTTGGGAGGCAAAAGGCACCCAGGCCGACATGGTGCCCAGTTGCGGGCGCTTCCCCCAGACCCCGGCCCCTGCCCAGGAGCAAGCAGAGCACTCACCTGACGCACGCACTCTCACCTCTTCAAAGGCGACAGGCCAGAAGTCAGGTCTCCAGCGCGGGCGTTAACTGCCCTGTGCGAACGCTCGCGGGCCTCGTGGGCCGTGCCACCGGACTACAACTCCCAGGGTGCACTACGACGGCTGGACGCCGTTTCTCGTCAGCGTCGACAGATATCCCAGCCAATAGACAGGAGAGCCTGCCCTCGAAGATCCAATCCCTCTGCGAAGAAGGCGGCTCTCCCGTGGCGTAGTTCCTCCGCAGTAAGTGGGCGTGTCTGCGGCGAGAGGTTCTGCCCCGCCCCCAGCCCTGGCTCCCGGGTTTTGGTTTCCTGATACTCCGTGAGGTGAGTCCGCTGCTGGTGGGCGCGGGGTACAGCCAGTCGGCGACGCTGCCTTCCCAGGGGCCAGCCCGGGCTTGTACGCGGCCGCGAAGTTGAGGCGCGC